CTGAAGGCAATATTTGAAAATTTAGGTATATGGTAGTGCTGGAGAGGAAGGTGGTGTTCCCAACCCAAAACAATCCTGCAGGGCTTTCAGCACTGAAGGAGCCAGGGAAGAATCCAACACAAAATAGATGAGGAACGCCAGCACAAAAGGGCTCATACCACAGCTGCTCCACAGCAACCTCCTACTGACCTTCAAAAGCACCATGAACCACTTCCATAGAATCATTTTCTTGGAAGAGATCTTTAACATCAAGTCCAACCATTAACCCAGCACTGCCAAGTTACCATTAAACCATGTCCCTCAGCACCAAATCTAAATGTCTTTTAAATACCTCCAGGGATGGTGACTCAACCACTCCCCTGGGCAGCCTGTTCCAATGTCTGATAACCCTTTTGGTGAAGAAATTTTTCCTGATATCCAATCTAAACCTCCCCTGGTGCAACTTGAGGCCATTCCCTCTGGTCTTATTGCCTGTTACTTGGGAGTTACTTGTTAAAAGTCCAAATTACAGAAACATATTATGAGTTGTAATGAGTTTTTACCCGTCATTGTGGTACAGGTCTACAGTTGGGGTTTATTAACACTCAAACACTTTCCAGGTTTCTCATGTGCTCACACACCTGTGGCCGCGCTTGGTGGGGGTTTCAGCAGCCATTCCCAAGCTCTTGGTCATGAACGTGGCAACTCAAACCAAGCACGGAAAGAGGTGACTGGGAGATAGTCAATGCCATTCACCCAGTAATGGCTAGATCTTCTGCTTCAAAGCAGATTACAACTAAATGTTTTGATTTGTTAGTATTAATCCTGCTAATGATTAGCCTACCTTGTTCTGGTCTTGTATGATATAATTCTTTGAAATCCCTGTTGCATTATACACACAAACACACCAGCACACCGCAAGCAGCTAGAGACCACAGAGCCACCCCCGCCTGGCAAAGTGTCCCAGAAAAGACAATGCCATCACCCTGGTGCAAAGCATCAGAATCAGCACCATTGCCAGCATGGACAATGGGGCACAAATTGTGTCCAGGTTCCTCTCAGCCTCTCTGATCCCTCCTGATCCACACAAAGTGGGCTGCAGGCACCAACCCGCACAGTGTCGTGAATATTGGCTACCAAACAAGGTCCTGGTGACCCATGTGGTGTGGTAGGATCAGGTTTTCCCTGCAGGAGAGGTTTCCAGTGTCCATCAGTCCGTGGGGACACCATGGGCTCACGTGCTCATCCCATCCAGGGGATGTGGAACATGCAGAGGGGAACCCAATGTGGCAACTGAGTCCAAACCAACTACATCACACAGTCCCCAGGAAAAACAGCTGGAGGATCTGCAAAAAAACCCCATGCAACTGCAAAAAAACCATGGGGTGACCAAATGAGCCTTCTCCAGGAAGGTTGTGGGAGCACTGTGCAAGCCTCGTGCTTAGTGCCAACCACCAGAGCCCCACCAGGACTTAGGGAAACCCCTCAGGACCAGTCATGGCATCACTACCCAGGGCAGATTATTGCTGGTGCTGCCAGACACAGGGGGCACATACTGATGCAGTTGTACCTCTGTATATGAAGCCCAAAATGAAGCCTCACCTCCACTTCCAGCTCCAGGAAAGGTTTCACCAACACAAAACAAAGGAGAACTATTTTTTTCCCCACTTTCTCTACTCCTGAAAAGTTGAATAGAGCAGTGAGAAGGTGCAGCTGAGTGGCAGGAGGAGTACAGGCTGGGCACAGGCGATTTTCCCTTTCCAGCACTGGTTCTCCAGCAGGCACCAAGCCCTGGGCACACAGCAGGGTGAGGGCTCTGCAGACCCACCAGTACACTTGCCACAAACCTGCTTCTTGGCTGCTCTGAGACAGCACACCTGGAATTTCCCTCTGCTTTCAAGCCTCTTGACTCTTCTATAGCCCCCTGCAAACCTCTTCTGTCCCATCTCCTCTCTCCTTCCAACTCCACCTCCACGAGCATGAACACAAACCACTTGCACAACCACTTACTTGCACTCCTTTTCATATGATCTCGGCAACTTTTTCTCTTCCCTGGAAGTCTGAGGTCTAGACCTTGTGCTCTGACCAGAGATGGCAAATCCAGCAGCAAATCTTCTTTCAAAGCAAGAAGAAACTAGAGCTCTTTTTCCAAAAAAGCTTGATGAAATTCTCCTCCAGCATCTCAAACAGCGCTTGCTCCTTGCAGAGCGACCAGCAAAGCTCATTTCTGTGGGCTCAGAGGTGTCACTCTCGCAGTGTGACACGGTGCCGGCAGCAGAGAGGGGGTTTCCATCCATCCAGCTCGGCAGATCCGTGTGGAAGTACAGCACAGATTTTTTTTTTACATAACCAGTGTCTGTGCTTGCTCAGACTTGCTTTATGTGGCACTTCTGTCCATTCATTCAGTGAGTGGGGGAAGGTTTTAACCACATCTGAGAAAACAGGAATAGAGGCAACCCAGAGCTGCAGAAATTGGTCACACAAGCACACAGGAACCGTTGTTCTTGTGTAGGCACAAGTGCACACACGTCCTTGGTGACAGAGAAGCACAATTTCTTTCCTTCTTTAACATGCATATGGAGACCCTGATGCCATCACTCTTGCACACATCTTTGTAGACACAGCTACACCATTATTTCACAAAAGAGGTCTTGGTAACCCTTCCCTACTTGACAAAACAATGGTGCCCCTAACCTTGAACTTGCCAATTGCTTTGGGAAGGAATTAGACTAACAAATTACTTCAATTTTGCCAAGAAGGGGAAAGCTGAGCTGGGATCCTGCTTGCTCTGCAGACAGAGGGCTGGGAAGGCCAGTGAGGTGACCATCAGCCAAAGGAGCTGCTGTTAGCAAGGGGCAAATATCAAGGCCCTTTTTGTGCCATATTGTTTGCTTTCTGGTGAATATGTTATGTTTGTCTTGCTGTCTACTTCTGGGATATCTATGAAAGAGCATTTTTCATGCTCAGTGAGTTAATTATTAGCCATGGACAAGTGGCCACTGAGCAATTAGAAATCACATTACAAGGAAGAAAGCACAACAAAACACCTTTCATCTTAACACGGAAATAAAAGACTTTGTCTTCTACCGGGAATTACCCTTAATAAAATTGTGTCACTTGACACCCTGAAATCAAATTCCTCTGCACGTTTATAAAGACTTGGCACCCATCATCTTCTCTAGAACTTGGAGTACGCATGTAGATCAACATCCACACTCAGGAAATGCACATTCCCATCACTGCACCAAGACAGCGTCCAACAGCAAACTCAGTTCAGGCCAAAGACAACAGTTTTAAGACAACAGAATTAAGAACCTTGGCTTCCTCTGAGCTTTCACTCATTCCTAAACAAGGGACAGGTCAGAAATATCCTGAAGGCTATGGATACGTTTCAAGAGCCCTGCAGCTTGGTTTGAGAGTTCCCAACAGCCATCATTTTGAGTCCTGGGCAGGGGTTAATTTGGGTGCAGTAGGTTTGTTGGATGTGCAGGTGGGACAGTGCTTTATTGGCCTAAGTCTGATTCTTGGAGGGGTAGATCCCTGCATATCACTAACTTTACCAGCAGCTGAGGAAAGAAAAAAAAATGGAGGTGGAAATATTTCCCTTTTTCTTTTGTGTGTCCTCAAAGAGATCAGGGAAACAAAGAGCAGTAATTAAACACTGGCTTCAGATGGAAATTCTGCTCTATGACGTAGGGAAGAAATTTGGACATAAGGAAGACATTTTTACAATCAGGGTGGTAAGACACTGGCACAGGTTGCCCAGAGATGTTGTGGGTACCCCATCAGTGGAAGTGTTCAAGGTTGAACGGGGCTTTGAGCAGCACGATCTAGTGAAAAATATCCCTGCCCAGAGCAAGGGGCTGGACTAGATGATCTTCAAAGGTCCTTTCCAAACCAAACTATTCTGTGGAAGCAGGTTTGCGTAAGGAGTGGTTTTGGCACTTGGGCTCACAGGGGAACAAGCCTTCCTTTCACTGCATGAACAACGTCAAGAGAAAATATGATCCCAGCTATTAAACTATGAGAAGTAGCATTATCTCCTGGAAAGGGTCAAGTGGGCAGCTGAGTTCTGGGTGGTCAGGTTGCTGATACCTGCCAGGGATCAGCACTTTTCCACCATTTCTGGACTTCAGCCTTGTGGCGAGCTGTTCCGATTTAAAAGCATAAAAGCAGGTATAATTTCCGATTTTGAATCAAACCTCTTCTGGTTTGACCAAAATTGCTTCTTACGCTGTGCACAGCGATGCTGTTGCCTGCCCAAGGGATGCTTTGCTCTGATGGAGACATTGGTGGTTTTTAGGCATTGCATTAACCAGGTTTGTCATAAGAACATCTCCCTTCGTTTTACAGAAGAGAAGGTTGGGGTGTTGGGATGAGACCCACGGGCAGTCACGATGCCAGGCAGCAACACAGGCAAGAACAGAGTTACCAGCTCCCTCTTTCCCATTCAATCGCTTGACAGAAGTGATTAAATGCTGTATTTTGTCTCTAGCTCTATAGCCACAACTCTCATATCCTTCAGGCATGAGCATTACTGGATCACTTGAAGATTTAACTTAATCATTTTGAAAATGTGACAATTCACCAACTTCTGTGCCTTTTTTCAGGGAATGCAAGAAAAATGACTTCACTAGCATTCATCTTCCTGCTCGCCCTCCTCCCAGCCCAATCTGCAAGCAGCAGACACCTCCCCAAGACAGCAAGTAAGTGTCACCCGTCGGGGACACAGATCTTGTGGGTGGCCTGAGCTCAGAGGTGGCATCACTGAGTGGGGAGCAGGGTTCAGGGAGCATCTCTCCCTCATCAGTGCCCACCACTTCCATGGGACCTGTCAGACCCATGATGCTGCTCAGCCCGGGGTCCCTGCTCGCCCCAGTCCACCCGTCCTGTGCCACAGTCCCATGGGGTTGTGTACCAGAGCTGACATTTACAGCCAACATGTTTTCCTCTTGCAGTTGAAAGCCCTGTGTTTGGACCACAGCAGGTATATGGGCTGGTCGAGGGGTCTGTCACCGTGACATGCTTCTACCCTCCCACCAGTGTGAATAGACACGACAGAAAGTACTGGTGCAAGCAATCAGCCACGGGCTGCACCACCATTGTCTCTACCAGTGGCTACACCGCATCAGGCTTCCAAGGAAGAGTCTCCATCATCGACTACCCACTGGCAAAGAGCTTCCAGATTAACATGACCGGGCTCATAGAGGCAGATGAAGGCACCTACCAGTGTGGGATTGGTATCAATGGCAGAGGGCTCTCCCACAAAGTCGTCCTGGAAGTTTCTGAAGGTAAATTACAGTCCTGGGGCTCCTTAAACTATTATTTTCTTTTACTTTTTTCTCCTGTTTTTTTTAATAAGGCTCCACAGATAGTGTGTCCAGTGTCTAAGAGCTCAAGATGCTCCATGTTTTCAGGAAACACCAGTTTTTCATTTTCGCCCCTCCTCTTACAGCATTAATATTTTTTTTTTTAACTAAAACTCTGGCATAAAAATCAGATTAAACGAATCTCACCTTAAGGTCACAGACATTGCTTGGAAGCTGCTAACCTCTCTCAACCACTGAAGTTTGGGGAGATGCATGCAGTCTGAGGCAGAACTGCCCATCCCTCCGATGTACCCTCCAACTCATGGCTGTGCAAGCCAAGCCTGTGCTCGAGTCCAGGGGAACACGGTGTGCAGGGTGGCACCCCACGGGCACAGAGCATGGTGCAAACTCATGGCATGTCCCTTGGCAAGAAGGCTCTGGAAGAAACCCTGCTATAGAGCAGGCAGTGAAACACGTTTCAGGACTGAGGTCTCTGTGCTGTCTCAGACATGGGACATAGCTGAGTAGATCATTACATGTGAGGGTGGTGAGAGCCTGGCCCACGCTGGCCAGAGAAGCTGGGGCTGCCTCATCCCTGGAGGGGTTCAAGGCCAGGTTGGAGGGGGCTTGGAGCAACCTGGTCTGGTGGGAGGTGTCCTTGCCCATGGGATGGTCTTTAACGTCCCTTCCAAAGCAATCCATTCTGTGATTCCATGGTCATGCTCTGACCAGGAATGGCACATGATCACGTAATATAGCAAAGGATAGAGAAACCCTATGCTAAAAAAAAGCCTTTGAAGGTACAGTAGAGTCACCCACAGACAGAGCTGGCAGTAGGCATTGACTGGTGTCTCTGTATGCATAGGTCCACACGTACCCGAGGGGGCTGATCTCTTCTACGTGAAGCTGCACAGCACTTTGACCATGGACTGCAGCTTTGGGAAAGAGTATGCAAGCTATAGGAAATACCTGTGCAAGATGGACAAAAGGGGCTGCCAGAATGTTGTTGATACTTACCAGAAATATGGTGAGGATTACGTTGGGCGAGTTATGCTGACCAATACGGAGCCTGCAGGCTCATTCAGCGTCACAATAACTCAGATGGGCTGGGAGGACTCTGGCCTGTACGTGTGCGGGGCTGGCACCTACGAGCAGAATGGTGTATCGAAGCAGCTGGACGTGCACGTCTATGAGGGTAAGTTATTCCCAGTGGTTTTTTTTTTTCCTTTATCTGTGCTTCTCTTTAGCAACATCACTGACAGTCCCACCTTAACACTTAACAAGAACTTTAATTTAATTTCACAGAGTGCTATTATCCTGTCCTCTCATCTAGATACTTCTTTCTATCCATTTAGTTATCTGTAACATACTAAACCATGGCTAATAAAGCTTGTATCATGACTTAACTTTCCCAGCAGTGGCTAGCCCAAAACTCCAGAAGGCAAGTTCTGCCTACCTGTTTGAGACAATCAAATGGTCTCTTCAAGGCTTAATTCCTTAAATCTCAAAATGAGAGATGTAGAAAGAAGACCTGCCCTTCTCCTAGCAAAGGGAGCAAAACTTTTACATGTCAGTACACAAAGACAACCACTGCCTAGTGGATTTGGGAAAAAGAAAGGCCTGACAGACCCTTTAGGGTTAATTCCTGGCAGTGCCAGGACAGTTCCCTACTATCTGCACCCCTGAGTTTCACCTTGCCTTGCTTTAGCCAAAACAGCTTTGTTTGATTTGATAATATTTATTCTCTTGGGAGAGTGCCACAGGGGCAAAAGTTAGACTTGTAGAGCTACTAATTTCATTTTTTATCTCCAGAGTCAAAGGTTCCTCAAGGAAAGCCCACAATATTTGGAGTAAAAGGAAGTTCAGTAACTTTTGAATGCCGCTATGAGCCTCTAAGAAGGTCCTCGTTGAAGTACTTGTGCAAGTGGAGAGAAAACGGGTGTGCTAAGATCATAGATAACGAAGGGTTTGTGCAAGGCCTGTATGAAGGAAGAGTGGCCATGTACAACAACCCACAAAACAACACGTACACCGTCATCCTCAACCAGCTGAGGAACAGTGACCAAGGCTATTACTGGTGCATGACAAACAAGGACGATGAGCAGCAGTCATCAACTGAGCTGAAGATCATAGATGGTACGAGCTCCCTGTAAGAACCCAGGACCTAACACTCGCGCGTTGGCAGATCTCTGTCTGCTCAGTAGGTACAAACCAACCTCCTAAGCCCCATGAAGGAGCAGATATGGCTTTTCAGGAAAAGAAAAGTACATCAATGTGAGGTCTAACCCTGGCACAATGTTTCACCTTATAAAAGTTCAATCTCCCCGCACCCCAGTAGGTTTAAAATGGAAACACAAGGCTTCAGTTTTATGCTAAAGTGTTGTTAAGAGTTTCTTATGCAAGTATTTCTTAAGCCTTACAAAAAAACCCTCCAGCTTTCACCCAGAGGTGCACATGCAGTATCGCCAACATTAATTTAGCAATGGGAGGAGCGCTGTCCTTCAAAAATACATCTCCTGGTTCACCATCTCTAGCAGCACCACTACCAGTTGATGACTATTCCCACCACTGAAACTACTAACACCAGTCTTGACGTTCTGTTTGCCCTCACAGGACAACCTGGACTGCAGGGAAAGAAGGATGTGGAGGTGCAAGAGGGTTCACGGGTCGACTTAACTTGCTCTTATCCGTGCAAATACTACTCCTACCAGAAGTACTGGTGCAAGTGGAGCAACACCGGTTGCACCCCCATGCCTGCTTCTGACCAAAGGCAGCCGGGGATGAACGTTGGCTGTGACACCGACAACAAGACAGTGATCCTGAGCTTCGACTCGGTGTCAAAGACAGACCAAGGCTGGTACTGGTGTGGGGTGAAGCACAACGGCCTCTACGGGGAAACCATGGCAGTGTACCTGACGGTGACCGGAGGTGAGCTCCAGGGCAAAGGCGGTTTCCTTCTCCTTGGGGCTGTGAATCAAGCTGCCTTCTGCTGAGGGAAAAGTCCTCTCCGCATCCACTAGGCTGCAGCACCTCAAAACAGAAGTGCTCTCATCCAGGCAGCCTCCCAGAGAAGGTGCTGAGATCACTCTGATTTTGTGCAATTTGTCGTACAGGTTTTCATCCACTCACCGTTTCCCGGTCATAAAAAACCCCGTCAGTCTAAAAATCACTTCCTTTCACAGGAAGTGATTTTTTACTTTTTAACCTGGTCCTGACTAATTATTGCTATTACAATATGTAACTTCACTTAAATTAAGCAACATCTGGCACCTGTCAGGTGAAGGGCTGCACGGAGTTTGGAGACACACCTTGCTCCAGGGAGCTTATTATCATAATAAACAGGAAAATATGAGGGAGCAGGAAAGGAAGGGCTATCACCCACTCCCCTGGGACAGCAAGGGGCTTAGTCTCAGCTTTGGCACAGTATTTTGTTTTTCTTGGGAAGGAAAATTGTCAGAAGCTGAGCAGAAAAACCTATAGCACTAGATATCCCACAGACAACCATCATCAGTGGATGATGGTCAAAGTGAAAACAGAGAGAAATAGTCTTATTTCACTGCCTTTGGTGGGCAAAGAAATAGAAATAAAAACAAACCAAGTATTCAAAATTTGCTCCAGAAATACTAGAGGCAGAACTTCGAAATGCAAGGCTTCTCAAAAGTGTGTAGGGAGAGGGAGCCTACTCGAGATTTCTGCAGCAAGTTATTTAAAATAAGGTTATTTCAGATCTCTAAGCCCCATTTCAAAGAGCCTCTCACCTACAGCCAAAACCCGCTGCAGTTCCACGTGCACCAAATACACCCCAGTAGTTTCTGTGTCACCGTCTCCGTTCTGCTGCTCGTGCAACTAATGGTCCCTTCTTCCCTGGGAAATGTAGGAAGCGCTGCCAACAGTGACCTCAACCTCCTGGAGAACGCCGAGCCCCCGGCCCACGCTGAGCCCACCAGCCGTGCCGAGCCCCCGGCCCACGCTGAGCCCACCAACCATGTTGAGCCCTCCAACCACGTTGAGCCCCCGAGCCGTGCCGAGGATGGTTTTATTCCCCGAGGAAGGTCCCACAGCGACCTTAGGGCTCAAGACGCAGCTGTCTCGGGAAGGTTGGTTCCCTCCCAGCCTCTGGTCATTTATGATATTTGTGAAGTTTCTATCAGCCCAGTGCTGTGTTTGCACACTGCGTGTGTGGTTTAGCAACAACAACAAAAAATAATCCTGTCCCCAAAGAACTTAGCTCAAAACATCAGAGGAATAGAAGCAAAAAGTTATAGCAAAAGGCGAGATGTCTTAAAATTAATCTCTAGGCCCAATGAGAAAATACAGTCCCAGAAGGGAACTATTAGAGATTCCAGGTACAGCAAAACTAATTGCAAACACCTCTGTCGAGATTACAGAGCTTTCCTTCACACGTTTATAACCAAGGTGCTGATGTACCTGGTTTGGCACAAGTTCTGCCCTGCATTTTTGTTCATTCCCCTATGATGTGCTGGGATACAGTTCATCAATTAAATCACATCACGCTCACTCATATTTATCATAGATTTTAGACTGTTGGAAATTCATATACGTTATTCAGTCTTCAATAATAATAACAAAATGCATTTCACAGCTTAACGATACATCTTTTCCCTCCACTCCAGCTCTGATGAAGGCCACGGCCCCAATAAACTTGTTTTAATCCTATTATTCAGTCTTCAATAATAACAACGAAATGCATTCCACAGCTTAACGATACACCTTTTCCCTCCACTCCAGCTCTGATGAAAGCCACGGCCCCAATAAACTTGTTTTAATCCTGAGCCCTCTTGGTGCCGTGCTCCTGATCCTCGTGGCAGTTTTCGCCGTGTTTAAATACAGGCAGCTGAAGAGATCTGGTGAGTCCCTGCCCTTCCCCATCTCTAAGAAATCTCAGCAATATTAAGACAAAAATGCTATTTTGTGCCCGCTGCTGGGCTGAGCTGCTCCCCTGGTACCCCCCATGCCATGGGGAGAGCAGGGACCTCGTTTCTCCCCCTGACCCCATCCATCCAGCTCCAACACCCAGCGGGGAGGGTGCCTGGGCTGAGACAGAGACCACCCCTCCGGGGGCTTTGGGTGCTGCATTGCTGGGTGTCTCCCTGCACGGAGGCATTTGGGATGCGGATGCGCTCACCCCAGCTCCATGCAGGGTATTTATCTCCTCCCTCTTCACAGACCTGGTGTCCGTGGGGAGCTACAGGACAAACATCAGCATGTCAGACTTTGAAAGCGTGAAGGATTACAGCGCGAGCAATAACGCCTGTGTGAAGGAGACCCAGGAGACCCAGATAGGAGGGGACGGTAGGTGGCTGCCTGGGGGATGCTCTCCCATGGGTTTGCAGAAGGACCCCACAAAAGCCACAGAAATACCTGCCCAGTGATGACCCTCAGACCCTAACGCCTCCCCTCCTCTCCCTGCAGAGTTCGTCACCACCGTGGTTGCCCCGGAAAGTGCTGCTGAGACAAAGAAGGCAAAAAGGGTAAGAGGAGGCAGGAGGGAACCTACTGACCTGAGACACACAGCCACAGCCCTCCAACTTCTGCCAAAGGGGTTGCCTTCTCCCAGGGGCCTTATTTACACTCAGGTGCTCTCCATCTTACCCTGATCCCACCACCTGCTGCACATAAGCATCGGTGGGGGAGCCTTAACCCTTTCCTGACCCCATGTTTTAGTAGGGACAATAACACAGTACCCCAAATCAGCCCCAGGTAGGGTCAGGGCTTGGTTGTTACCATAAGTATAAAAGATTGAAATAAGCAGATGACCAGAAGCCAGAGCACATCCCACCTCCCAGCCTTCCCCCAGCACCATGCTCCCATGACAGCAGCTGTCCAGGGGGCAGGAAGGGCTGTGACTTGCTCCTGTGGCTGTGGCAAGCCCCTGCCACCCCCTCTTTGGTAAGATCATAGCCAAGGGCCACCCACCCCACTCTAACCAAAGGCACCAGATGCAAGCCCTTCCTTTTAGAAGTCCCCAGCCAAAGGCGATATGTAGGTGTCATAAGTGCAAAAAGCTGAAACAGAGCAATAAAGGCAACTATCAGGAAACCAGTAAAACCCAGCAGCTTTAGGGCAGGTGAGCTGGGTCCCCAAATGTGGGGACAGGCACGTTGTGGAGTCCCAAACCCACAAATATTTGGGGTCTTCCCTGAGGCTGAGCAAAGGCGTGATGCTCTCACCTTGGCAGCGGGTTGTCCCACTCACCCGGTCTGCCTGTATCACCCCAAAACACTCATGGTCCCCCGGTGCTGCCTGTCTTAATGCTGCCCTCTCTCCTGCCATGTCCTGCTGCCCATCCCTGTTCCCCTGACGGTGTCCCCCTGTCCTTCCCCAGAGCTCCAAGGAGGATGCTGACCTCGCCTACTCCGCCTTCCTCCTCACCTCCACCAGCATCGCCCAGGGCGGCCCCGGGGAGGGCAACGCTGCCCCAGAGGTGTCCCCCCAAAACTGGGAGGGCCAGATGTGAACGCGAGGGACCAAGAGGTGGCAGTGACTGGGACCGTCTCTACCTTGAGGAGCAGAGCAAGACATCAGCAAGCAGCACCCTTTATTGCTAACTGCAATTTCCTATAGCTTGACCTTTTTTTTTTTTTTTTTTTTTTTTTGCTTAAATTCAGCTTTGAGAGGTGATTTAGGAGGAACCATTTGATGCCAAGTGGGGTGGCTGGGCTGGAGGTGCAGGTCTGAGCGAGCAGGTTGGACTGGGAAACAGCAGGGGCTGGTGTAGCTTAGCCCACCACCAGCCCCAGCCCCACCAGTGCCCTCCCAACACGGTGGGCTCTCAGAGGCACATTTTGCAAAAACAACAAAAAAAATTTCTCATATTCTTTTAAAGGCAGCTGGAAAACCCTCTAGAACGACAACCCGTGTTTTTGATTCCTCTTAGCTTTTTCACCCCAAGGGCAGTACCTGCAGACCAGACGTGGTCTGAAGTGTTTTTACACACAAGCAATAACGAAAACCATTGGCTTTCACCAGACGAGGGGGCCTCACAGTCCGTGGGAGGGCAGGGGGAGAGTGCACCCAAAGATGGGATGCTTTTGGGAGGGGCTTTCTCCCCCTCCTCTTACTGCAGCATCGCATCTGGTGTTGCAATTGGTACAGGACCTTAGAAGAAACCCGCAATTAATGGAGATAAACAGGAAACGTTTTGAGTAATCTCATGTGCATTTCCATCAACAGCAGGAATTGACCACGGAGTGACATTAATTAGTATGAAAACTTACCAGCAGCCCACACAGCTGACTGGGCAACACGCGCCGGTGCTCATGGCACTGTATCCATTTGCATGGTCCAGACCAAACTCCCCAGAGCAGCTGAACCAACAACCTCCCATTTCTGACCTGGAGCCGGAACAACCGAGCCCAATCCGTGCTCCTCTGCCACCGGGCCACCCGCTGAGGGTGGCCTTTGAAACCCACCCTTCGCTTAATAAACCTGAGCCACACATCACTCACATTTTCCCCGGCTGACTTCATGTTTATCCAGGCAGAAACAAGGATGACTGTGATTAAATGTTGTCTCTTGGTCTTATTTCCGAGCGAGGATGACTAAAGAGAGAAAAGTAATTTACTGAGGCAGGGGTTTCCAAACCGCAGCGTGACACTGCTGTCCGTCAGCTAGATGGGGGTTACAGAAAGCCGAATACCCCGCAGATAAAGCAAAGTAGGAAGCAGCAATGATGAAAAAATTGTGACAAAGAGGAGAAACACTTTTCCCTGTATGCCAGGAACAGGATGGGCAGGTGCCTGCCTGGCAGAGAGAGGGGCTGTGAAAGGTTCCGGGACAGAAGGGCCAGCAACTCCACAGGCAAATTCAAATCCCTGAGCCTGGGTTGGTTATTTGCAGCTCTGACAGCAAGCCATTAAAATATAAAGAATGAGGAGTGTTACCCTGGCTATTTGTTACCCAAATTATTCCTGAATCACAGACCTCCCTGCAATAAGCCCTGAGATGAGCGTGGCTCATTGCAAGGAGGAGGCGGCAGCTCCGGTGGCATTTGTGATTTATTTGTGTTTTCAGGGCTGCTCTCACACCCTCACTGCTGTAGTCACCACCTCACTGATGGCAAGGCTGGGACCCCCAATGTCTGGTAGTAGCTCATCATCATCATCCTCACCTCCCGCATCCCCCGGTGGTGTGGTGGGAAGGGGCTCAGCTATGGGAAGAGGCGTGGAGGGGCCAGGACAGGTCTGTGCCCGCCCGCAGTTGCTGGAAGTGAATGAATTATTCTGGTGCAATAGGGAAGGCGTGCGCTTGGAAAGCGTCCCCCGGGGGTGAGCAGTCATGAATCTGCAGGAAAACGCTCAGGTTTGGAAATTTTGGAGAGGAGAAATTTCCCTTTTGCTCTCCCTTTGCAAATCTACTTCCTCTTCAGCCTGCCTGCCGGGCAGCCTTTTCTCAGCTCCGCTCCTCCCGCACGGGCTGGGAGCAGCGAGGAGGAGCTGGAAACGTGGGTGGGCTGAGCATCCCACAGCCCCACAGCCCCCTGCCCACGGGTCCTGCTCCTGCCCATCTCCAGCATTTCCATCCAGCACCTCGTTTCCCAAGGGGCATCCCCCTGGGATGCTGTGGTGGGTGGGAAAGTGTAAACATAGTCTGACATGAAAAGCAGGAAAACACGTGTGGAGTGAGGCATGAAACCCTCCACACAGGATGTAGTCAGTGTGGTGAGAGTCTGGCCCAGGTTGCCCCATCTCTGGAGGGGTTCAAGGCCAGGTTGGAGGGGGCTTGGAGCAACCTGCTCTGGTGGGAGGTGTCCCTGCCCAGGGCAGAGGGTGGCACTGGGGGGGCTTTAAGGTCCCTTCCAACCCAAACCATTTCTATGAAATCTGATAAATAGTAGTAATTGTGACAGCATACGCTAAGGATGTGGAATAAACCCCACACATCTCACTCAAGCTGTGATCCAGAGCTCATCACAACCAATGAGCAGGTCCACCAGGACCTCACCGAGCAGCCCCATCTCCTTCATCAGACTGTTTGCCAAACATGCTGACTGATTTTCTTTGATTGGTGATGAGCTCTGGTATCTCATTGCATCACTGCTTCATTCCCAATGCTTTTTCTGTAACAGAAAATCACGGTACGTGCAAGGTATGGTTACATGGTTGATTTCAAGGGTGATGGTGTTGAGACATCAGCTTCCGTGAACGCTGACAGAGTGTGGAGGGGTGTATTCACCCGTCCATGCCCTGGCAGCAGGACAAATGAAAGTCACAGTGCAAAAATTCATGAGAAAGCAAACTAAGGGAATCAAAATCCCGAGAGGCTTTCCTTTGGCATAAGCAAATATTTAAGAAAGGATAGTGAGCAATCAAGGAGATCTTTCCTTTAAAAGTGAATCACCAAATCCCGCTCAGCGTGAAGCACACGTACATGCTATAGGCAAATGCTGGTGAGCTCACCCAGCCAGGTCACCAACAGCACTGTTTTGGGAAGGGACAAGGATTCTCCTCCTCTGCAGCACCTCATTCTGCTGGTGCCTGGTGGAAGGTGCAGTGCCCACCGGACTGACGCAACGCTCTGGCAATGCCTCTTTGCTCCTGGAGGTCTTGACCAGGTTCCTTCTGTGATGGGGATGAAACCAAAGCAATAACTAGGTTCTCCTTGAGGACACAAGGACCTTATTCCATAATAGCAAAATCCTACTAAAGAGCCTCTTCTGCAGCTAAAGCCTTCCCCGTGTCACCTCTGTAGCATCATTAGAAGTTGTTCAAGTGTGGAACAGCCCCCTCTCCATCCATCCCAGCTGCTGAAGGTTGTCCGTGCCCATGGGCAGGAAAGGGAGAGCTGGAGAGCATTGACCTGTCCCAAGGGAACAGAGGTGCTGAGAATAGGTTTGTGCAAGTCCTAGAAGCAACAACTCGACCCTAACAGCAATAAGAGCTGCTCAGAGATGGGGGAGAACATGCAGTGTCCTGGTTGTTCTCGTGCCACCATAGCTGGCAGGAGTTTTGGTACACCTTGCTCAGCTTAGCTGATTCTCAAACCAAAATCTACCCTGTCGGAGATCTACCCTCCAGTCTGACTCAAGCCTCATGCCTAGTCAATGCAGCAGTAAGGCTTTATCACTTGAAATATTAGGACTAGAGTGTTACCAGGGACATAAACATCCAGCTGCTCCCCAAGCATTTACCTGGGCCCTGGCACCAGCTGTATAAAACACCTCCTGGCTGCTTGGAGAGATGACCTGGGTGGTCTTGATCCATTTACCTTAGTCCTCTGCCGTTAACAGATGCTGCAGCACTATGTGTATTAACACTTTGTATGAAAACACAGTGGATAATATAATTGCAGCGTGCAGAACCAGTGGGTACCAACAATGTATGTGCAGCCACTGGCGGCTAAAGGAGCCCAAAACAGGTGAAAACAGACCAGAGCTACACATTATGCACAATAAAAAGGGTCTTGTGGGCAAGTGGGGGTAATTTAGCACCATTCAGGTCTAAACTCTGGTCTCTCTGGTATGGCAGGAATGATGCATCACCTCTGGGACACCAGCCTTACTGGGAGTGACAATATCTGCTATGAAAGGGCACCATGATAAGTTCAGAAAGTTTCGCCAACAAGAAATATATAATTCCTCAGAATTTTGACAAACAGACTCAGCACAGTTTCAAGTGGGGTTTATTTACAGTAATTGCAATTTCCACAAAGCTTACTAGCGAGTGTCAGTAAATTACAGAGTACATACAAGAACCTTTTTCTATTCAGCAACCACATATCTTGCACAGAAGGTTTTCTTTTACTGATAAGGCAGAAAATACCATCTCAAAAGGAAACACAGGTTTCTAAGGCCTGACATACCTGCTAGGAGCTATTCTTGGAAGCATTTCTCACCTTGTGCACCTTGTTTCAGGCAGAGCAATCAGCAGCCGCCGTCACGTAGGACTGAGCCCAGATTTATGAGCATCAACTCCTCTACACCAGAGCTGTTCCAGCAGGCACTCAGAACTCAGGAATGTATATTCCCCATACAAAAATTTTATAATTTAAACAATACTTTTATTAAATGATCACAGCTTATGCCTGCTAGTAAGAGGAACCCTTTTAGACTTTCCCTTGGAGAGCATCCTTTGACAGAAGTCAGCTAAGGGGGTGCTACGCTGATTTGATCAAACTCGGTATTTCCATCTTTAATGCAAGAGATGTATGTGGACCTGGCCAGGAAAACACTCAGTGTTTGATCGACCAGAGCTGCAATCAGTGAGGAACTGCACTGATACAGTACATTATTTGCCCGTTCACCGCTGGTGTGTGCATTGGCCCAACAGCTTCGTTAACCCCGGTCGTTGGTGGGTCGTTAGCACCTTCTGCTCTCTAACCAGATTTCTCTATCCAGTCTAGTAGGATGTCCAGCTCCCCTAGGGATTTAATCGCTGCAGATGTGACATTCAGCTGAAATGATATAAAGGAATAAGTTGTAGGCAAAGATAGCAACTACAGCCGAATGTAAAGAGAATCTGAATATCTGCATTAATTACTAGACGTAGTCATCAACTTACCCCTTCGTAGTTTGCAAGTATTTGCTTAAATTTCTCAGCAGATTCCTCTCCACACAGACACTTATTCTGCTCATTCTAAAAGAAAAAAAAAAAAAAAGATAGAATTCATTAGTTTGGGGCATTCATTTTTAAAAATAAAAGATCAGTTTCTAATTATGCACTTATTCTGCTCATGCTAAAAGAAAAAAAAAGATAGAATTCATTAGTTTGGGGCATTCATTTTTAAAAATAAAAGATCAGTTTCTAATTATGCTGGAAATTACTGTAGAGACTGAGTCCTTAAACTCTGGAAAAGGCTGCAGGTCTTACATCAGACTTGAGTTGACTTTGAACGACAGAGGGACAGGATAAATATCATTCTTGAGAACTACCGTGGGAGGTGGCTGATGAGTGGCAAGTATAAAAATTTCTCAGCCGACACACTCACTCTTCACATCATGCTTCTTGGTAATCTTGTTAAAAGTATTTTTATAAATAAGGATTTTGTGACTTTATAAAGCACATAGGTTTATTTATACACCAATTACTAACAGATGGAACGGAGCTGTAGCAATACCCAAGACTTACACATTGCCCGAGTTTCCTCTTCACGCTGAGGAAGGAGTTGGCGATGCTGCTGATCTTTCGGTTGACGAACGAATCCTCCGTCTTGCAGTGTTTGAAGACTTTGTCCACGTAGAAGTTGAAGAGCTGATGGGTGATGCAGCATCTATCTAACGGCTTAAGGAATGAATTTCATTTTTAAAAGGTCTTCCAAAGGGCTTTAAAACAGTTGTCACCAGCTTTTTTGCCCTCCTCTAGAATAAACCACCTCTAACACCAAGCACGGTAGCCGGGCACAGCAGGATGTTTTGACTCATACAAAGCTTTTACAGTGGTGCTTGATGTAAACTGATAAGATATATAGGAAGCTACTTCAGACTGATTTTCCAAGACATCCATCCTCAGCAAGTCTCACTGAGCCAACAAAATAATTAGCTGACTTTGTAGCTGGGTGTTAGATGCTGAGACCTGAAGATGTGGCCCACATCTAGAGCCTTAGAGTGTAAGAGAGCCACAAAATCCTTATTTATAATGTTTTTCACCTCCCAAGATCACATTCACCTGCTTTTGGATTCTCTAATATCTTTCTACCCAGATCCTGATTCACCTCGCTGTGTCTCCACCGACCAAGGCGGTGAGGAACCGCAGCTAAAGCTCCTGCAACTGGAGCATCACATGCAACAACGAAAAAGGTAAATGCCTCTGCCCACCATTTCTGGAAAGAGAGTCAGGGTGAAATCCCAGTGCAGGAACCGGCAGTGGGTCACCCACCTGTTCTCGCCTACGTGATCCACATCACTTTATCCTCCCTGACCTGCGCTGTCTGCCAGCTTCTGTGTTTCACAGGAACTTAAAAGTCATGGTATTGAATGACTTCCCCAAAGGCCCCGAGGTGGTGCACCTCCTGCCTGCTGTTAGGACCCCACCTGGTCAAAATTATTCAAACTGGAGAGAGGGTAAGGACACCTACCTTAACCTTGTGCAGAGAATGGGGATGAGACAAGATGCTCAGGGTCCTGATGGTGTCTCTGGCTTGCTGAATGGGAGGAGATAGAGATGGTGATAGACCTCCAGAGGACCTTCAGGAGAAGTCCACTGAGGAGCTTCCCCAGCTCCATAAGAGCCCACAGCAACAATACTTACGATGTTGGCTTTAATTGCGGTGAAACCAGACCTGATCTCAGTCACACTCATTGAAACCCTGCAGGGTCCAAAGTGGAAGATTTTGTTCCCCGTTGTCGGCATCAAATTCAAGCAGCAGGACACAGAGAGGAGGCAGAGGAACAAGTGGGATCCCTTCATGCTGCTGCCTGGAAGACCTGTTCAAGGAATACAATATTGCCTCACTGTCTTTCCTAAATAATACAATTATAATTCTTATGAAAATATAAGTATTTTATGTAGAACTTGTATCTGTCCACTTGTATTAAAGACACCCCACACTGATTAGTATCTCTTACCCATTTCTTCTTGACTCCTCATGGGCAAGAGAAAAAAACTCAAATACAAACCAATATTTAACAGAAGGTCCCAAAAGAAGTAAAAAGAAAAATAAAGAAAAATATACTAGTAAAAGACTGCAGGCAAATAGATAAAGTCCTTCTGAAAAACTTTCAGCAGAAAAATAAATACAGTTAAATTAAATTTTTAAAAGTCTACTGACTCGGAGGCAGCAGGAGGTAACTGTCACTGAAAGCAGAAGATCTCAAAGTCCGATCACAAAAGAAAATGCTTTTCTTCAGAAAGAACATACTTCAAACACACTTTTTGTTAGCACTGAAAACTAAGGTTATTAATGGAAAAAGTCCTTTTAGAGATACATTACAGGAATACAAGGAAATATGCAGGAGTGTACAGAGCAGAAGGATAAAGTCAGTATTTTACCTTGCTCTTTGATGTGGGTTCACCTGTCTTGTCGACGTCTGACCTGAAGAGCTCCGAAGAACACGCTTTTATCCAGGTATCGGGAGGAAATAACTCTTGGATTAACTTTTGGGATTTTTCTTGCTTTTCCCAGCACGTATTTCCCTTTGTAATTTGCTGAATTAATGAGCTAGTGAAAGGGACCAGCTCTCTCACCCACAGGTGTTTCCCTCTCCCACGGAGGCGGGAAATCTTGGCATCGCTGCATCATTTCGCGTTCGGGAAGAAGGACACGAGCAAAAGGAGGGACCATCGGGGGGGTTACGTGGAGCCATGTTGCCAAGCCCCCCCCGGAGAGGGGCTGTTCCCGACTCCCTTGGAGGTGTTGGGATGCAGGAAGCCGAGTGGCATCACCTTCCCCCAAGGATGCCAGTGGTCCAAACCCCCCATGGTGGGAAGGTTGCTGGCAATGGGACGGGGGGTGCCAGTAAAAGGTGTGTGACTCAGAAAGTTGGCAAGACCTTTCTCCATCAGTGTCCTGGCACTCGGGACCTTTGCCCGCTGGATATGGGGGACCCTACTCTCAGTCTGGCTCCTCAGGTGGGTGGACAATTATCTCCATTGTCACATCCCTGGTATTTGGAGATCTGAGATGCCCAGGAACGAGAAGGTTTTGGGACGCAGCACCCACCTCAGTGCCAGAAGAAGTCACTTGGTTTTCAGGAGCACAGGTGACTTAGGTGATGATTATGCACAGCCCAAAGCTCCCACCCTGCAGAAGGACAGAAATTTCACCCAGACCTTTAGAAGTCCACCAGCCCAGGGGCAGAAGGGAAGTTTTACCCACCAGCAAAGACTTTGACTGCAAAGTCTATGATTACTCTGCCAAAATTAGCTGCTGAGCAAAACTGATACAGCCAAGGTCTTCGAGCAGACCAGGCATGTTCTCACACCAACCTTTCAGACCCAGACTCTCCTTGGGGAACCAGGGTTTGCCAGCTGGGCCACGCTGTCACATGAATGTGGTGGCACTGGTGCAAACCCCAGGCTGGTTCCCCATGCTGTGGGCTCCAAGGCTAGTTTGGTTGTTTTGGTAATCCCTCTGGAGACAGCTCAGTCTAGCCAACAAACAAAATAGAGCAGTTAAACAATCTTCTTGGATGACTTGTACCCAGTAGGGAAGGTTGGGTGGAATTTGATGACATGGAGGTGGCAAAGACACCCCTCTAATCCCACAGCCAACCTCTGGAGCAGCCACGATGCTCTGGGTGAGAGCAGCAGCCTGAGCCTGTGCCTGTTGCAATGCAGGTGTATCTCGTGTGCCACTGCCTGTGGGCCAGGGCTGTTCTATAAAGTTTTGCTGGGTGAGTAATTTATTGATAACCAAGCTCAATCTTGAGCCTATTTCCGTCACCAGGGGAGGACTAGGCAAATAGACTGTGTGCCCAGGCTAGTCGTAGCATTGCATCCAGCTGAAAGTGCACCGAATGCACCAAACGTGCTTCCCTCAACCCCGTGAACTGTAAAACAGCCAACGGGCAGGTCCAAATCCGCAGCAGGTTGCATTTGCCCTTGCTGAGTTGTTGGAAGGATCCTCAGCAGCACGAGGCTGGTAATCTCTGCCCAATTCCCAGCTGCTGCCTGCAATTGCAGCAAAAATTTCCCTTGGAGCAGAGGAAGCGGCACCGGCGGCGTTCCCAGGGAGCCTGGTGCACACCCTTGGTGAGGAAACAAGGGAAGAGCTAATGAGCTCTTACTTAATTATGTAAATTGTATATGAGAAGAACAGTTTTCTTTCTTTTTTTTTTTTTTTCCCCTTTTCGTAACTGAAGTGACGCTCAAGACAGGTCAGCCAAATGCCAGCAGGCAAGAAACAGTCACGGGTTAAAAATTGGCAGCCAGGATGATGGAGGAAAGATGCCGGGGTGAAAGGGGAACCAGAGGGATTTGTCAGATTATCGAGGTCTGGGGTCTGGCCCTGGATGGGCATCCCTTGGACTCACTGTCCTGTCACCAACCCTTGAAAAGCAGAGGCAATAGCATGACCCTCACTGCAGGGGCAAAGGAAAGGAATAACCATGTCAGAGATGGGAAGACAATCCAGAGCTTTAAAAATTAAAAGCAACATGTGCAATGATGACAATTGATTACCCCAATCGTTGGACCCATGGGAGGTCTGGAAACCCTTGTTTTTCAGAACAGATGGGATGGCATCAGCAGGGAGACGTTGGCGTGCGTTGGATGGAGTCCTGATGGAAGCACATCACCCAGGCTTGGCTTTCCCCGGGCAGCTTAAGGGAGGCCCCCGGCGACCTGCCAGCTGGAGCAACAGGGAAACATCCTCCATAGAAACCAGCACGCCACTTCTTGTGTGCTCTGGGAAGGAAGAGGAACAAGAGGAATAGGGATTTCTGAAACCCAGCAGCATGACAATGCAGATGAGCTCAGATAGTAAAATGGGAACTGACTCCCTCAGGCTCTCCCAGAATAATTAATCCTTTCGCGTAGGGCAGCGCTGGGAAGCGAGTTGGGAGTGGGGAAGTGGTCCTTCCCCCAGGAACCCAGCCAGGCAGCTCCCAGCTAACGGGGAAGGGCTCCTCCCTGGGGATTTTACAGTAGGCACGTTATAACAGGGCTCACGAGAAGCAGTTTTGGCCCAAATACCAAGCAAACGCAATGGAGAGGGTTGTTTGCCAGCTGCCAGCACGCTAGGGAATTAAAAACTAAGCCCCGTGCATCATTAGCTTTCCTGAGAAATCGTTTGTACAGAGTGCGTGATGAGCAGCACAGCCCCTGAGCATCTCACATCTGCAGGCATTCAGCTCGGAAAGGCACAAAAAGGGCCAGTTGAAGAGAACAGGCTGGAAAACAGACCTCGGAACAGCCTCTTGGACCACTCTGACTCTCGGCAGCTCCCATCGTTGTCGGGATGATGCTTGGCCTCATCCTGCCGAGCAGACGGCCACGGTCACATCCCCACCACCGCGCTGGGCGGGCATCACTGCACCAGCGACGGAAACAATGCAATGCCAGCAGAAAGCACCAGCCTGCTGCAGACAAATGGCTTGTCGAAATGACTAACAGAGCAGAGGTTCCTGGTGAGCCCCAGAGCGTGACCAGAGACGAGACACCTACTCACCGGCGGCTGGGTACGGCGGGGAAACTCAGCTGCAGCTCCACACCGGTGCCGGAGAGTCCTGCCCTGAGTTATCTCAGTCCTGCTTGGTGTGAGCCACTGCTGACCCAAATTCGTTCATTTCAAACAGCCAAAACTTTTTGTTTTATCCTAAAAAAAAAACAAAACACAACCAAGCTGTTCTGTTCTGGAGGAGCCATGCAGCCAAGGACTGACCACAGGCACACATTAACACTGGGTTTCCAGTAAAGCATTTCAGAGCGATAAGGTACCAGTTTCAATAATGTTTTTTCAATGTAGTTTCATGATATAAGGAAGATCTGATAATACTTTACAGACCATTCTTGGTTTGCCATTCTTTGTCATTACTCATATTTCAGAGCAGCTTTAGGTACACCAGCATTTCAGATATGAGGCTGATAATGGTTTGCACACAGATCCCCAGACCAAGACAACGTGAATGACAGACATGCCTCCAGTAATTTTAAGAAGAGAGAAGTTGATGATAACTGAACTCAGGAACTCTTCCTTCAGGAAAAAGATCTGCAAAAACCAACACATCTACCTGAAACAAAAACGCTTATAGTGTATTTGATCTCTCTTGGTAATACTGTAGCTCAGCAAAATCCCTGCCAAAGGAACGTAATTCAGTTTCCACAGGCAGAAGAAAATGTTTCCATGTGGTTTTTATGCACTGGAGTGATTTCTTACACACCTGCAGTGGTGTAAATTGCCAGGCAGCCCTACCCTAATCCTTGGCTGATGTTAATGGGAAGATGGGCTGCAGCAGTGGTGCTTTGCTGCAGCTCTGAGTAGTTCTCAGCACCTTAAAAATCAGGTTTAATTGCCCAGCAACCACCTGGCCCTCTGATCCAGAGAGCCTGGCGTTAATGGGAAGATGGGCTGCAGCAGTGGTGCTTTGCTGCAGCTCTGAGTAGTTCTCAGCACCTTAAAAATCAGGTTTAATTGCCCAGCAACCACCTGGCCCTCTGATCCAGAGCCCATTTCAAATCTCGTTTGAACAAGTGCTGATCTGGCCCGGTCCCCTTGAAGCCCAGGGATCCACACCAGGACCCCGATAGGTGTCACCCCCCTGTCTCACTTGAAACAAGTGCTGAACCTTGAAACCCAGGGATCCACACCAGCACCCCGATAGGTGTCACCCCCCTGTCTCACTCTTTCCATCAGCTTCTGCACTGACACGCTTTGTCCTTCGCAATGGAAATGTGCTCCGTGGCTGCCAGAGCCATCTCCCAGCCTCCGAAAACCTCCTGCTCTTCTACCTCCTAATTAGCACGGCTCATTATCAACAGAAACCAGGGGCCAGTTAATGAGCAGGGCCCCAGCTCTGAAATGCTGCTGACAAAAGTGAAAAAAAATTGTTTTTCTCGGTAAACTCATCAAATGACTCAGAAAAAAACTCTGCAAGGACTTATTGGCTGATAGGTGTGGTACATTGTGTGCCCTCTTCTCAGTCACGTTTCTAACCATAACCACTTGAATAATTCTGAAAGTCAAACACTGAGCACTGCCTTTTAGTGAGCAACAGGCTAAGCACGGCTTATCTTAAGGAAATGCAACTTTTACTCAGCCAAGATCAAGAGATGTCCAAAGCCTTGGGAGTGAAATTCAAGCTGTTTTCCATGATCTCTTCCCAAGTAGCTCGTGGCACACGGGGCTCTCGGCAACTTTAGGACCTCGCCTTGTGGGTAGAGAAGCTCCTTGCCCAGCACTGAGGGGCTGAATGACTTTGGGAGAGCCTGGGAGAGTGTCCCCAACCCCGAGACAATGTCTGAATCACCCCCATTTAGGACATCACCCATGACTGTCCCCTCCGGAGCTGTTTCTGTCATTTCCTTTTACTCCAGCCCAGCCCAGGATGTCTCCAGGTGTATGTCCCATGAGAAAGGGGACAGTGTCACCTCCCCTGGGAGCATCATCCCGTTGCTATGGGTGGCCCCAGGCTCACCTTGCCCAGGTCATCGTTGGCTCCCGGCTGCGCAGGGTTGCACGTCACAGAAAATGACACCGTCACCACCTTCACGGAGCAGATGCGACACTCATCTGCGTGACTCACCAATGGCAGTGCTGCCACCAAGCCAGGATTTCACCCAAAGAGGGTAAAGAAAAATGCAAAAGAGAATGCTTTTTTTTAAATTTCTTTCTTTCCTTCCTCCTCTAAGATTCACCTTTGTGGAAGGGGAAAAGCGTAGTGGAGGATCTCGTACACTGACATATCTGTTCTGCAGAAAACCATTAATTTAGTCACCAGGGTTGGGGGTGTTGAAGGTTAGATACTTGCTTCCCCTGCTTTGATAAACGTGAACTCATATTTTGGTTATCACAAATGGCATCTTCCCCAAAGGGAAATGCATATTTCTGGTCTTTACATTTTAATAACACAGCTAAAGAGCAGCTCCTGTGAGGTTTTCTTCAACTGTCCAGCACTTGGGTTTCAGAAACCACCTTTGTGCCCGGGGGTTCCTCTGGTGAATCCAGCCAAAGTGATGTTGTCCTCAAAATCCAGCAAGTGCAGGAGCTGTGTGTGATGACAGGGACCAGCCCAGGGGAATTCAACCCTTTCCTGCTTAATTCAGGAACTGGCTGGAGAATGAAATTGCCCTTGGGAAAGCTTCACCCCAAAACTGCAACCGCTCAGGAGTTATCCCAAAGGTTGAGCTGCCCACTGCTTGGTTACGGGTCACTCTTCTGGGATCATTTCAGCAAGATTTCCCACACAGAGCAGGAATTTCAATGGTTTCTTTTTTTCTTCTCCCCCCCTGCCTCCCCGAAGGTGGGTATTTCAGCAAAAATTGAGGTATAATCACCTGAAAAGCCCTGCCTTGCATTGAAGATGGGTAGAAACGCTCAGGAGAGAACCATGTAAAGCCCAATGCCCACGGTGAGCTTTGCATCGCTCTCCAAAGGTGCATGTATTTCAAAGACTCAAATCTGCCAACAAGACGAAACACAGGCTTAATGAATGAGACTTTTTCAGTTTCCAGGTGGTTTCAGAAGCTTTTTGATGTGGGCATCTGACATATTAGCAATTGGGCTTCTCCAAACAAACGTAATGCCAATGTATCGAAAATGCTGAAGCGCAGGAGAGATGTGGAGCTGCCCGAGCAGCCCCTTTGCTGGCCGGCGAGGCTGCGTGCTGCTGACAGGACCAACATTTCACAGAGAAACGAAACTTTCTTGAAAGGTCTTTCTGAGAGAGAGAGGTGTGATCAGTGAATATGAAAAATTGCTCTAAGCAAATCAAACTTCCACTTTCAAAACCCACAAGAAGCCCCCATGCACATCTTCCCCACAGAATTTAAAGTTGTTTACTGGGCTTGCTTCTAATTTTAACCTTTTTTTTTTTTTCTCTCTTATAATTTTACAACCATAATTCACGTTACCAGCCATCCTGGTGCTTCCCTTGTTGCTGCAGTCCTGGGGGGGTTCCTGTGGAGACTGGGTTACGCTGTTGACAGAGCAAGTTTGCACCTTGGAGGATGGGCAGTCTAAAAGAGACATAAGACAGAGAATCAAAGAGGAGACAAAAATAAAATTAGCCAAAAATTGAAGAAAATGGCTCATTCCAAGGATTGGGATTTTCCATAGTGAGCCCAGGGATCCCCAGCTGAAGTCCATGGATGTTGCCATGGCTCACAGAAGAGCTTGTGCAGGCAGTTTTGGGGTGCTGTTCCCCAGCAGTGGGCTCTTTTTTTTTTTTTAGAAAAATCTCATTAATGTTAAGAAAACCAAAGCTGAAATTCTTTACCTTGAAAATTCAAATAAACAGTCACAGAAAATGGCATTGGTTATCAGACACTGTCTGCAGCACAAAGGGATTTAAAATGAAAATTAATCAGAGAACCACAGAATGGTTTGGGTTGGAAGGGATCTTAAAGCCCCCCCTGTGCCACCCTCTGCCCTGGGTGGGGACATCTCCCACTACACCAGGTTGCTCCAAGCCCCCTCCAACCTGGCCTTGAACCCCTCCAGGGATGGGGCAGCCACAGCTTCTCTGGGCAACCCGGGCCAGGCTCTCACCACCCTCACACCAAACAAGTTCTTCCCAATATCTAATCTCAACCTCCTGTCTTTCAGTTTAAAACCGTTACCCTCATCCTATCTACCTAATGATCACACATAATAGATCAATATCATGCATGCAGAGTTATCAGGGGTAATTATCTGCACCCCCAGGTAAGCAGGAGCAGACCAAAGACTTTCACGTACATGAGGCGCTGCGAGTGAGGTCCCTGTGAGGCAGAGGGGCTGTTTCTTGCTGAAATATCAAGCTGCCCCCAATTCCTCCTCCAAAGCTTCAGACAGAGCTTTGAATGGCCTGGCTTTTCAAATAATCACAGTAACACTCAGGAGAGAAGAGAAACACCCATCACACTCTGCCACTGCCACTGGCAGATGCCCGACCATGGTTTGCTGAAATGCATGTACCCGTCAGCCAGCTCCCCTGTTCCTCCCGTCCTTATTTTTGGAAGAACTAAAAACTCATATGACAGCCAAAGTCACGCAGGGCATTTTTTAGACCACTGGGCTTGGCCTGGGATTTGAGCAGGCGACCGAGCTGCCCCATCCAACGCCTGGGTTTGCCCAGGAGGGTGAAATGTGCTGACGGTGCAGGCTATAAATGATGCCTAATAGAGGAGAAACTGAGTGCTCGCTGCTATCAGCTCAATTTTTGAATTATCGGGGGAGCAAATGAATCACTCCAATAGGCAGTCAGAGTGCTCGTAGATTTAGCTTTCACCAAAACTGAAACTTATGTTTCAGTAAATTCGCTGTAGATTCTGTACATAACCCAGCTCTTAAACACGGGTTTCGGTTTTGGCTGGGCTAATATTGCCTTTAGTGCTTATTAACTCGGGACTTGAATCAGTCTCAATTTCACAACCGTGAGGGGCCAAGGCTGGTTTCGTTGGTGCTGGCTGTGTGTGAGCCCAGGCAGGGATGGGAGCTCTGCTCCAGCCCCAGCCCCAGGGCAGAGGGAGACAGGGGTAAGGACAACAAAAAGAGCTCTGCTGGCAAGTCCCAGCCACTTGCCTTCCCTGCTTCCCACCTTATTTGCTAACACACATCCTGTGGAAATGAGAAAACCCAGGAAAATTGGCCCCAAATGCCCTGGCAGCATGGACAAGTGGTCAAGCCCGCATCAGAAAGTCTACTGTGCTGTTTTCCCACCTCCTGCTTGTATAAATGATTTAATCCAGGCTGGCAGTCGTGCATTGGAGCTGCACAGCCATTCCCCTGGTTCAGGCAGAAAGGTGGGCTAACGAGCGAAGCTAAGGCTCCACTAATGAGGACCAACACAGAGCTCAGGCAGTGCAAACAGTGTCCCAAGCAAATGTCCCAGGGAGCAAAACCATCAGGGCACCAGAGGAGGGTTTAGGAGGTGAAAGCCCTGAGTTGTACCTGCAGGGTAAGAGCACTGTCATCCCTGGACTGATGGGGATGGTTTCTCCTTTGAGCACTGCAGGGTGGCTTGAGGAGATGGAAGGGGAGAGCCCTGCCTCTCGTTCAGTTGAAGATGCTCTCCAGAAGGTGCGTAGGCAGAGCCATAGCCACTGAGAACACGCACTGCACCAAGTCCCTGCACAGCTCCAGACCCCCCATGGGTGAGGTTTCGGCCCCAAGATGAGCAGGAGCCATGGTGCTGGCTGCCCTGGGGCTGCACCAGCCCCTGAGGACACAACCCCTATTTGCAAGGTCCGTACTGAGACCTGCATGTCCCCAAAGCACCAAAGGGTTTGTCCCACCCTGAGCCTTGCACCATCCTCAGAGCTTGGAGAGCCCCCTCCTTCACCATCCATCCCAGCCACCACTTCCTTCTAGGTGTAAGTTCTTGGAAAACCATGCTATGAGGAAAGGTTAATTTTCCCAGGTTAATTATCCTGTTCTCACCCTCCCCGTAGGGCTCTGCCTGACCCTGGCACACACGGGGAGCCCCAGCTTGGCCATGGGACATGACCCATCCTGGGCATCACCCCCCACCCCTCTGCTACTGTCCTCTCAGCTTGGCGGAAACGTGAAGACTAGCATTTCCCTGTTGCACAACGTGACCAGAAAAAACCCTTTTATCCATAAATATAAGCCGTGGGCATTGCAAGGGTTGTGGCTCTTACATTGGACTTGATATTCGCAGCAAAGGGGCTGCCAGGCTCTTCCAAGGAGCGGTGATGGACTGCCCATCCCTCCCTTCCCGACAGCAGGAGGCAGCTGACAGAGGGAGTTCGTTTCAGATCTTTTTTCTTCTTCTTTTTTTTTTTTTTTTCTTCTTTTTTTAAACACCATTTTCAGCCAGAGGGGTTTTCCACCATTCAGATTCATCTTCCACTTCCTAGTCACAGCCCTCAAAACCTACATGGAGAGCAACAACCAAAAAGGGACTTCAGCGCCTGTTCCCGTTACTGAAGTAAACTTTCCTCGGATTTCCATGAAAAAGTAAATCCCAGGCAAATTGCCTAAGAAGCCCAAGTGAGACCAATGCTGAGCAGAAGTGCAGCAGACACCCCAGTTCCCTGGAGGGAAGGAGGCCGTACCCCTGGGAGCAATGAGATTTCAGCAATAGCTTCTCAATTGCTGAACTCTACCGCTTTCATAACACAAGTTCACACTTTTTGTCAAGTCTCTGTAATTAAGGTACCTGGCTGGACAGACAGCCAGGCTGCGTTACCTGCTCTCTCTGAAAAGAACAAACAAACCAAAGCAAACCAAAAACCAAAAAACGAGAGAAAACAGAAGGGGATCTGAACACACGGAGGTAAAAAATTATACACAAAATATTTAAAACTCTCTGAAACCTCTAAAAAGCACATCTGATGGGTCATTTTTTTCAGTCCAAAAACCTCTGCTCGCATAGATGAGGTCAAGCTAAGATTATTCTACCCCTTCCTTCCCGCAGCACAGCTGGGTGTGCACCCTGCGCTGGGGCTGTTAACGAGAAAGCAAATTCAATAGGAAAAAAAAACCCAACAAAAACAAAACAAAACACATAGGTGAGGTCAAGCTAACATTATTCTACCTCTTTCTTCCCGCAGCACAGCTGGGTGTACGCCCTGCGCTGGGGCTGTTAATCAGAAAACAAATTCAATAGGAAAAAAAAAACCAACAAAAACAAAACAAAACAAAAAAACCCAACAAAAACAAGAAACCAAAACAAAACTTCTAGCAATTCTATTTCATCGCATTTTTCACTGAAAGGGCAGCAGTGTCAGCAGCAGCCTCTGGGCTGATTATTCTGGGAATCCACATGGTGAAACCTGTTCCTTTTGCCCCCGAAACGGCAGGTTTGAGTTGCAGCCTCACACGACCATCACCCTTTCTTTTCTGGTTGAGTAACGCTCCGGCTCAGAGCCGGGGTTCAACCCATACAGAGGGGCTGGGAGGGGGTCCCGGGGGGGCCAGGCGTTATCACACCAATGATTTTCGAGCCGAAAACCGCAGCGGGGGCGCGAGGGAAATCCCCCGGCAGCAGTGGGGATGCTGCAGCACCCCCAGCCACAGCAGGGACAGCCCCCCCGGCCACCGCACGTGCTTATCTGCGTGTTGGGGAGGTGGAAAATTAAAAACCCCAGGATTTCTCAACCCCCCCTGCCCTATCACCCTGCAGAAAAAACACCCCAAAACTCCACGGCGTGAGTGAGCCAGCCCGATGGTTGGCTTCTGGCCGAGGGCCTGGTGCTGCTGTGGAAAGTGAGTGAAGTTGCCACCGTAATTCACCCCGACGGTCACGTTACGCTTCCGAGCAGCTGGTTTGCATTATCTGATTTCTCAAACCATGATAACTAGTTTCTGTCTTATGACCGTTCATAACTATAAATAGTTTGTATTTGTATTATTGGCCGGAGGGTTGATGCGAAATCATGGCACAGACAAAGTTCTCCAGAAGATCCGCGCGCCCCAATAATACCAAAACTAGAAAAAAGAAACTCATGAAAACAGCACTTGTGAAATGATCTGTTCAAGGCAGGAGTTACTCAAAATTCTATCTGTAGGATACTCAAAAAGAAAAAGAAAGGCAGTGCAAGAGATATTCGGATAAGTCAAAATGGACCATATATTCAGGGTTTTTTTTGCATACTTTTACCTCCTTAACTTTCCTGCAAACAAATTAGCCTGAGGAAGCCTCGTTCATCCTTCTCCCTTGGAGGACGTGGTCCAGTGCCAAGACCTCATCGGCTTCTATAAGGACAGAAACAAGACATCGCTGTGAGCATTGGAAAATCCCTGCCAACAGCTTATTACTTCTCTTCTCTTTTCTTCTGAAATAACACCTCTGTAACTGCTCCCCTGTGGAGCAGGAAACAGCCTCGCATGGAGGAGGACAGCATCGTTCACCTGGCAGAGGGCCTGACACCGTGACGATGGCCTCCTTGGAAGACCCAGTGACAAGAGGGCATTGCTGCAGCAGCGACCTCACCCCGACTCTGCACACTCTGTGTGGAGTGCCTTGAAATGGCAAAGTATGAGCAAATTGGGAAAAAAAACCACAGCTCAGTCTCCTGGGTTGGCAGAGAGCACCCTGCAACCCCAGGGTTGGGTATTAAATAAGGGTGTTATTCTCTGTCAGCCCTATAGTTCACAGCAGACTTCCACATATTGGGAGTTCTATGTGTGCAATTAAAAAAGTGGATGTATCTCTCAGTTAATCTAATCACCAAAACACACAATCTACAGATGGGAGGAAGTCCCCATTACTTGATGCCTTTGGGCGATGATGCCAGCTTGATTTAGATCAAATGGAAGTTCTGGACCTGCTAAGAACTTCTTATGTAAGGTTCTCTCTATGTCATATTAGAGGTCACAATAACGTCTTTTATTCACGATTAGTAACCTATTTCTGGCCACTTAGATATTACAAGACAAAACGATGACATGGGTTAAATTTCCAAAGAGTCATTTGGGATTTACCTGTTGAGATCGATATGAATCACATTGCAAAGTCCGACAAGGGTGCTAGAAAGCAGGTTTCCAGAAGTGAAATAATCTGACGTCATGCCTTGCCAGCAAAAAAAAAAATTCTTGAAAAAAAATTAAAAAAAAATCAGTCCACTTTTTATGCTTCACCCATCAGGAACTGTTAGTCATCGGCGATGGGGCTGCTGAGAGGGCAAATGCCATTGCCTCAAAACCGCTCTTCACGCAATGTGAAGAAAATGCCACCAAGTCTCAGCTTCCCCCAGAGCGTCACTGGCAGCAGATCGCATGAACCTGAAGGGATGAGAAATGGGGATTTTTTAAAAAGGAAAGAAAGAAGCACACCATTATGATAGCCTGGAAATCTAGGGGATCCTCCAAGCTGTATCTGGAATAGACAGTGCATAAAATACACAATGGTCCTTTGTCGGAAAGTAACGACAGAGACCAAGAAGGCAAAAAAAAATGTAAAAACTTGCCCGCATAAAAGCTTGCCAACATAAGAAAAGCCATGTACATGCATACAAAAAGCATGAATGCCACCCCACTTCAGAGGACAAGACCTCTGGAAACCACCCAGCCCAAGCCCTGCCTGTGCAGGGTCACCCAGCGCACATTGCCCAGGTCCATAGTCAGGATGAACCTCTCTGGTCACCACGCTTGGGGGAAAGAGCCTTTGCCTAAAAGCCTCTATTTTACTGCAGAAATGCAATTCTGCTGAGTACTGCTTGTGAACGTGCAGATCTCAGACGTTTGTGGGAGGTGGGGTAAAAGTGCAAGGATGGCTTTTGAGTAACACACTTCCCTTCCTGAAATGATCTTCTTGGCAAACGTAAAGCTGTTTCCTAAAGGTTTAGAAATACACCCACATCCCCCGGACACTCTTTAGGAAAAGGTGCTTTATTCATTCATGCAACTGCTTCGTAGTACTGCAGAGTCAATGCCTTTCCACGGCAGTAAGCAGGGGTGAGTCAGAGCGAAACTGCACCGTCAAGATCTCTGACACGGCGAAGGAAACACAGGTAAACACAGCGGGGTGGCATCCGTGCGCAGGCCGCAGTTTCCTTTGTGGAATGGACACATGGGGCTTACGCTCGTACCAAACAAAAATACAAGCCGGGTTCCAAAACAGGGAGGAGGGAATTGCACAAGTGCAAGAACCTGCTCTGCCCGCCGCGGGTGGCGAGCTGCAGTGACTTCATGGGGACCCGCAGATTGCTCAAAACAAGAGAAGTTTGGAAAAGGAGAGCTCAGCTGCCCAGCGGGGAGGAAGGAGGGCTCCTGGTGCCATGTGGCTGACGGTGGAGGACATTCCCAGGTGCCCAGAGACCCTTTGCTTCACATCCCACACCAAAAATACCAGCTGAGGCTGAAATGGACACCCCATCCCGATTTGCAGCGAAGTGCCCAGGGCTGCATCCTTCACCCAAGGGAGTGGGATGAGCTCTGGGCTTCTCTCCAGGGTCAGGCTGGACCCGCTCTGGGGCACAGCATCACACCCACCAGCCTTACCACATCGGGTCCGATGCCCCGATGAAATTAAGCACATGCAGGTCTTGGCAGTGAAGCTTTATTGACCCATGGCAGATTCCAGTTCATTCAAAATAAGTAAAAAAAACCCAGACCATCCATGGTGGGAGCCTAAGGGGGAAAGCGGAGAAAGGTGGGAAAGGGTTGAGTTTAAAACGACTCGATTTTGTCTGAGCCATCTGCTGCTGCTCGCTCTTCTCCTTCCTCATGGCTTCTGCCGGCCGTCGAGGGGAGAAACCGCACGGCTGTGTTTGAGCAGGGGAAGAAAAATGGGTCACCAAATGCGTGACACACGCCGTGATTCAAACGAACTAGTGTGCCTGCAGTGATTCAGCGGGAGCAGGCTCCCTCAGCCAACCTCTGGAAGAGGCAACACCACCAACAAAAGGCAAACAAATCAGAAAACAAAATCCCACTTTGCCTCCATCTCCAACTCCTCAGTCACTGATGTCTCATCCCCTTTACTCTTACTCATACACACGTACATCAAACATTCCTCTCTTTTCTTCCTAGAAATAATATTTTAAAAAATCTAAATATACAGTAACAAAGAATACTTTGCATTTTTTCCAGCATTTTTTTTTTTGCAACAAATTCCTTCACAGAGGCTTGCAAATTAAACTTAAAAGATCAGTGCAGTGAAGGAAATGAGACTTGAAGTGATTTGACCCAAGTATCTCCCAAAGTATTGGGAAAAACAGACAATTTCAAAATAACATTGGAGATTTCCAAGAAAATCTTCTAATTTCAGAAAGGCCAAACTCACCTCCACTTTCTCTTCCTTGGATAACAGATTCCAAATTCCCCAGTGAAATCTTTATCACAAGGAAGCAGGGGTGTGTGTGCTAATATATATAGAAAGAGAATATGAAAGAAAGGAAGGTGGAAAACAAGGGAGACGTCAGAGGAATTATCTTCAGCTCTGAAATGGTAATTTTATCAGAGCTGGGACAATAAGTCTCAGTGCACACAGCACACCCCGTTCGCAGAGCCACCTCTGGGCTGCTCAGACGGGGTCATCTTCATTTCTAGGAAACGAAACAGGATTAAATAGCCAGAAAAAAAGAATATTCATGGTCTGCTTATGCAGTTCAATACGACACACCGATGTTAGAACAGCAGCTCCCTTGGCACAACCTCTCCCTGCCCACAGGGATGGAGCATCACCGCATCTCAGCCCAGCACGACACCAGCTGAGGCTTGGGAGCACAGCCTTTGAGCTTGCTGAAAGCAGGGAAAATTAAAATTGACATCAATTTCATCAGACATATGCATTAACAGAAAAAAAAATAAATTAAGATTATTACATGTATTTACACTATAGCATTCGAATGCCAAAGGAGCACTGTACTTGAGCAGTTTCATTAGGAGTACTGTACTTGAGCAGTTTCATTAAAAGCAATGCTGCCAAGTAGGGCATGGTACTGGAGATCCTGAGTGCAACTTTGATATGGAGGCTTAAAAATAGAAACACTTTTTTCCCCTAACAATAGGCCATTCAGCTAAAAATAAGAAGTAACCGTGAGAATGCATAAGTAAACTAACACAGCCCCTTTTCTTCTTCGTATTATATCTAAAGCTTTCCTCCTCAGCCACATTTAAATTTACAAGAAGCAAGCAATGAGAAAAAAACTGCAGAGTCTAAGCACAAAAAGATTTGATGGGTGTGAGGAGAGGAGGGGGGTCAAGAGAACAGGAAACCCAAGTTGACGGGAAACCCAAGTGACATTTGGTTTTAATGAATGACTTAAAACCCCAATATTGCTCGCCAGGAAATGGGGAGAGGAAATTGAGTGCTGTTTTGAGAGTATAAATTAGGGGCTCCATCAAGGTGAAGGCTGCAGATTTGGCATTTTTACCCTCCTGTGAAATTGAGCTGGACAGAGGGGGAGAGCATCTCCTTTTCCACAGGATGCAAACCTGCCCAGCCCTGCTCCTGCTGCTGCTGGCCACCGGCGCCCTGCTCGCCCGCTGCTCGCCCCCCGAGCCCTCCTGCCTCCACTTCTCCCAGCTCCTGCCCGCCAGGCTCAAGGAGCTGAGGAGCAAGTTTGGGGAAATTAAGGATTATTTTGTAAGTATAACCTCCCCACCCTCCCGCTTTAAACTTCTCCTCCTCCTCCTTCTTCTGCTGCTTTTGCAAAGTTCAGTGATTTGGATGAGGGAGAAGAGCTTCCTCCCAACAAGAGAGGATTTGGTCGCGTTATGGGGCTGACGGGGGTGAGCAAGAAAAGCTCAGTTTCACTGTTTGCTGAGAGGCAGCACGCAGGGGTTTTCTTCCTAGTTTTAGTTACAACGAACTGAAGCGATTTCATAATGAATCTTTGCCAACCTTCCTAGGCAGAGCTCCCCCGAAGCGCCGCAGACCTAATTATGGGCTGAATTAATAGGAAGGAAATAGTTTCTTCTTTGGGGCACCAAGGTCCAGCCTCTCTGAACTCGATGCTAGATGAAAAGGGAAATCTTTTGCTACAGACTTTTTTCTTTGAAAGAACCACAAAAGCCTGAACGTGGGGTTTTATGACTGGAGAAAGGCTACGGTGACCAGCACTTGCTGCAGTTAAAGCCTGATGAAGGTCATTGCTTTGCATCGTGGCAAAGGGGGGGGTCGGGGCTGCTCCCCAACAAGATGCTCAGAGCATTTGTCCTCCCATCAGCACCGATGGGGATGGCTGCTCCCACCTGTCTTACTGTTTTAATTGATCTCAGGGTGTTTTAGCAACAAAACAAGATAGTTCTCCAGACTGAATTCTCAAGCGAATGTCATAGCTCCTATATATTATCAAACGAACACAGGCAAGACTTTAAGATTCAAAGCCTGCTGCACATCTCCCAGTTAGCACTGGGAAGGGATATTTTGAACCTTTTGGAAAGCTCTGCAGCACCTTGGTGCCCCGGGGTGATGCTCTGGGTGGTGCCAGCCCACCCCGCTGATGCTCTGGGGTCCTCCAGAGCTGACGGTGCCACTGAGCCACCAGGAGAACAAACACCCTCTGCAGACCCCCCCTTTCCCCCAGGGACTGGAGACTCAGAGATACCAAACCCCAGGGAATCAGCCCCAACCCGGGCAGCCCAGTGGGGGGGTACCTCTCTCCGGGGGCTGCCGTAACTTGGACACCTCTGCAGGGAGCGTGTGGTTTGAGGCAGCTCGTGCATCCCCACCCTCCGCAGCCGCGCTGGCGGGAGGAGTTTCACATGAATGACACCGACGGTACTGAAGTTTGTGATTTCGTTTTCTTGCTGTTTTCACCTGCACTGCAAGATCACGGACCAAAGGCTGGGTGACGCCTGCCTCGGGTGTCACCGTGCTACACACCACGGGCTCTTTGCCTTCTCTTCAGGGAGGCAAAATGCAAAGAATGAAAACAAACCTTTGGCAGGGCAAAGGGAAAAAAAATAATAATTGACTACCCAAGTGAAGCTCATGCTTCTGTTGTATCCCTCTACAGCAATCCAAAGACGATGAACTCAGCATCCAGCTGCTCAGCTCCGAACTGCTGAATGAATTCAAGGTAAGAATTTTTTTTACAATCCCCATCTAAAAAGTCCCTTTATCCTTCATCGTCCTTCGGGCGGTGTTTTGTAAGAGAGGAAGCAGGTTGTAAATCGGGGCATTTCCTAACGTCACATGAGGATGGTTCTCCAGCCGAGCGGCAACACGTGTGTCTGCGGCCGGGCTGACACCTGGTCCCCCCCCCGGCAGCCACAAAGTGTGATGCTAACGTGCTGCGAGCTCTCTGACCACCACCACCATCAGGCTTTTTAAAAACACCCACACACACCAGTGCTGGTGGCCGTCCCCAACGCGGTTACCTCCTCTCGCCCCAGGGGACCTTCGGCTGCCAGTCGGTGTCGGAGATGATGAGGTTCTACACCGAGGAGGTCCTGCCCACCGCCCGGAAGACCAGTGCCCACCACCAGCAGAGCGTGGACGACCTGGGCAACCTGCTGCTGGACCTGAAGGCGACCATGAGGCGCTGTGTGAGTGGGGCTCAGCACCACGGGGCTCAGCATCACAGGGAGGGGGGGATGAAATCAGTGTTGTGGTGAGGTAGAGCCAGTCCCAGAACAGCAGGAAGGTGGGGAGCGGGTGCTGGGTCCCCCCAGGAGCAGGGGTATTGGGATGGTGTGGAGGAGCAGGGCTCCGGGCAGGCAGACCCCATAAGGGTGGTGTTTCTCCTAACCCCGGCTCTCCAGGCTTTCATCAGTTAAAATGTGATGATTCAGGGGCTAAATTCCACTTATTCACAGCCCTTCCCAACAGGGTTTGGCTGAAGAGATAACGGGAGGACGGGGGGGGGTGCGTCCCTTACCTGGGTGATGAAGCAGCGATGATGCTTCCTAAAACCATGCCTGGTATGGCCGTGACCGTATCACCCACCACGGGCTGCATCAGCTGGGACAAACCCAGCAGTGAGGGGCAGGGGGCTGGGAAAGGGCTCGGGGTCTGTCCTCGGGTCCTGCCACACTCCTTTCGTGGGTGTATGATGCAAATCATCCACCGTTGCTGCCCCAGAGAACCCCACGGGTGCCGTGGGGAAGGGAAGGAGAAGATCAGTGGGGTGGCAGTTGGGGGGGGGGAGAGCCGCCGCCGCGCACCCTCGGGGAAGGAAACCCGTGTGGTTGAAGCCGTTGCTCTCTGTCCTCTTACAGCACAGATTCTTCACGTGCGAGAAGAGGAGCAAAACCATGAAGCACATCAAGGAGACCTTTGAGAAGGTGAGATCCCCGCTTGCGTGGCTGAGCTGAGGTTGGGAGGAACCCGCCGTCCCCGGGCGCTGGATTTTACTGCTGGCTTCGCCTTAGGAGGGAGAACAGAATCTAAAAAAGTCTTTAATTATAGAAATAGCTAAGGCAGGGAAATCCAGAGAGCGATGCTCAGAGGAGCAGCCGGTGGGTTCCCCAGAGGGGTTGGGCAGAGAAGCTGGAGGTGGTGGTGGAAGGAGAATATGTCTAGAGATTGTCCATCACCCACCACCACCACGTTCAGGCTTAAACGGACTTGGCTTTCACCCGCAGATGAACGAGAATGGAATCTACAAGGCCATGGGGGAGTTTGACATCTTCATCAACTACATCGAAGAGTACTTGATGATGAAGAAGAAGTAGTGAAAACGCCCACGGGTCTACATCTTTCACACAAAATCCTGCTATTTTTTTCAGAAATCACTTTAGGCTGGAAGAGCACACAAGAGATTAAGTTATCTTAGGGTTCAAAGTTTAGTATTGTATTTAGAACTTATTTTTTTTACAACTGAATTTAATATTTATTAATTTTAATACCTCAGTGTTTATGTTTACAATATGTTTTGAAGGAAAGTGTGATGAGCTTGTAAAATACTATTTATTGTTCGATATTTTAAAACTGTTTATGATAGAGTTATTTTATTCATAGCTTCAAAACACCCAGAGCAGTGTTCCTCTGGGGAGCAGAGAACGAGCAAAGCTTATCCCAAGTGCAATTCCACTGGGCATGGTCGCCTGATCAGGAGCAACTCCAGCTCAGAGCTCAGCAAAGTTTAATTTTAAGCAAATGAGCGCTCTCCTCCTGTTCTATCCCTCTATTTATTTAGGCAATCCAACGCTTTTATGCACAACCACCTCACTGTCTCTGGTTCTGCAGTGGGAATTAGGCACTGAAATATTCAATATTATTCCATGGCCTTGCACTGAGCAAGATAATCATAAATGTAACACAGGGTGGTTTTTTCCTCCTGCGCAAAGAGAGCAATGCGGAGGAGGAAGAGGAGGAGGAGGAGGAGCTGTACTCCTATGAGCACGCGACCATGCCACGGCAATGAATCAGTTAACCCCACCTCTCGCCTATAGATTAGAAGAAGGCAACACGTGTGTCTGCGGCCGGGCTGACACCTGGTCCCCCCCCCGGCAGCCACAAAGTGTGATGCTAACGTGCTGCGAGCTCTCTGACCACCACCACCATCAGGATTTTTAAAAACACCCACACACACCAGTGCTGGTGGCCGTCCCCAACGCGGTTACCTCCTCTCGCCCCAGGGGACCTTCGGCTGCCAGTCGGTGTCGGAGATGATGAGGTTCTACACCGAGGAGGTCCTGCCCACCGCCCGGAAGACCAGTGCCCACCACCAGCAGAGCGTGGACGACCTGGGCAACCTGCTGCTGGACCTGAAGGCGACCATGAGGCGCTGTGTGAGTGGGGCTCAGCACCACGGGGCTCAGCATCACAGGGAGGGGGGGATGAAATCAGTGCTGCGGCGAGGTAGAGCCAGTCCCAAAACAGCAGGAAGGTGGGGAGCGGGCGCTGGGTGCCCCCAGAAGCAGGAGCAGGGGTGTTGGGATGGGGTGGAGGAGCAGGGCTCCGGGCGGGCAGACCCCATAAGGATGGGGTTTCTCCTAACCCCGGCTCTCCAGGCTTTCATCAGTTAAAATGCGATGATTCAGGGGCTAAATTCCACTTATTCACAGCCCTTCCCAACAGGGTTTGGCTGAAGAGATAACAGGAGGATGGGGGGGGGGTGCGTCCCTTACCTGGGTGATGAAGCAGCGATGATGCTTCCTAAAACCATGCCTGGTATGGCCGTGACCGTATCACCCACCACGGGCTGCATCAGCTGGGACAAACCCAGCAGTGAGGGGCAGGGGGCTGGGAAAGGGCTCGGGGTCTGTCCTCGGGTCCTGCCACACTCCTTTCGTGGGTGTATGATGCAAATCATCCACCGTTGCTGCCCCAGAGAACCCCACGGGTGCCGTGGGGAAGGGAAGGAGAAGATCAGTGGGGTGGCAGTTGGGGGGGGGGAGAGCCGCCGCCGCGCACCCTCGGGGAAGGAAACCCGTGTGGTTGAAGCCGTTGCTCTCTGTCCTCTTACAGCACAGATTCTTCACGTGCGAGAAGAGGAGCAAAACCATGAAGCACATCAAGGAGACCTTTGAGAAGGTGAGATCCCCGCTTGCGTGGCTGAGCTGAGGTTGGGAAGAACCCGCCATCCCCGGGCGCTGGATTTTACTGCTGGCTTCGCCTTAGGAGGGAGAACAGAATCTAAAAAAGTCTTTAATTATAGAAATAGCTAAGGCAGGGAAATCCAGAGAGCGATGCTCAGAGGAGCAGCCGGTGGGTTCCCCAGAGGGGTTGGGCAGAGAAGCCAGAGGTGTTGGTGGACGGGGAATATGTCTAGAGATTGTCCATCACCCACCACCACCACGTTCAGGCTTAAACGGACTTGGCTTTCACCCGCAGATGAACGAGAATGGAATCTACAAGGCCATGGGGGAGTTTGACATCTTCATCAACTACATCGAAGAGTACTTGATGATGAAGAAGAAGTAGTGAAAACGCCCACGGGTCTACATCTTTCACACAAAATCCTGCTATTTTTTTCAGAAATCACTTTAGGCTGGAAGAGCACACAAGAGATTAAGTTATCTTAGGGTTCAAAGTTTAGTATTGTATTTAGAACTTATTTTTTTTACAACTGAATTTAATATTTATTAATTTTAATACCTCAGTGTTTATGTTTACAATATGTTTTGAAGGAAAGTGTGATGAGCTTGTAAAATACTATTTATTGTTCGATATTTTAAAACTGTTTATGATAGAGTTATTTTATTCATAGCTTCAAAACACCCAGAGCAGTGTTCCTCTGGGGAGCAGAGAACGAGCAAAGCTTATCCCAAGTGCAATTCCACTGGGCATGGTCGCCTGATCAGGAGCAACTCCAGCTCAGAGCTCAGCAAAGTTTAATTTTAAGCAAATGAGCGCTCTCCTCCTGTTCTATCCCTCTATTTATTTAGGCAATCCAACGCTTTTATGCACAACCACCTCACTGTCTCTGGTTCTGCAGTGGGAATTAGGCACTGAAATATTCAATATTATTCCATGGCCTTGCACTGAGCAAGATAATCATAAATGTAACACAGGGTGGTTTTTTCCTCCTGCGCAAAGAGAGCAATGCGGAGGAGGAAGAGGAGGAGGAGGAGGAGCTGTACTCCTATGAGCACGCGACCATGCCACGGCAATGAATCAGTTAACCCCACCTCTCGCCTATAGATTAGAAGAAAGAGAAATAGTAGTAGGAGTGAAATGTTTGGTTCTAATAGAACTTGACTCAATCGTTGCTAAAGGGCTGGCTCCAGAGCTGCTGGGTCGGCCACTCTGCACTTTCAAAAGTTAATCTTACTATTTTCCAGTCTTTGATTGGGTTTTACTTGCTGTTTTATTGTGGTTTTGGTTTTTTGAGGTTTTTTTTTCTGTTTGTTTTTTTTTTTTCTTTTATAAGTTAGAGGATATTTAATTAACCACCATTTTAAGGTGGCTTGGGTAATTTGCATTCAAATACATAAAGCTGCCCGCAGCACTGACAATATTCGGGGTTGTGTTATTTCTAATCCTGCGCACGGGGTCGGGGAGGGGGGGGGCAGTGTGCCCCTGAGAGGGGCTGATTTTGGGGCTCCCTTCTCCCTGCCCAGCCTCCTGTGACCCCCCGTGGGCCAGAGGAAAACCCCGTGACCCAGAGGCATTTGCTCCTAATATTTAGGAGCATCAGGGCACCAATAGGATGAAACACTGTCAGTTCGCTGTTTGCTTTGTAAGTTACCACTGCGGAGAGGCTATTTATATTTGATTTATTCTCTGTGGCTGTTTATGGTGACAGAAGGGCATTCCCACTGGCAGCCTGCCCCACGGGAACTGGGGATCCCAGCCCAAGAGCAGCCCCGAGCAGGAATGCGGCTCCGTGGGTCGCTCCTGCTGCTGGAAGCAACGGGGTGGCATCAGCTCAAGGGCAGAGCGGGAGCCAAAGGCTGTAAAACTTAATTTAAGCTTCTTACCAGGACACGTTAAGTTCCCGTTGAGCCAACTCTGTACTTGCTTTTTCCACCAAATGCCTTGATTTCAGTCAAGGATGGCCCCAGACCTTTGCCAAGAGCATCCGCAGCTCCGTTCCAGGAAGGTTCATGCTGGTGGGGGGGGACACCTTGGCCACGGCTTCTGGCACTGTGTGAACTTTCTTGTCTTCATCTGTATGAAAGAAAATCTTTTATTTTTGCTAATAAAGACCTTTTAACGAATAAAGCTTCTGTTCTGTTCTCGCAAGTTGTTAGCAGGGCTGTAACCCAGCAGCAGCGTGTAGATGCTGTGCCCAGTGTCACCGTGCCCAGTGTCACCCTGCTGGGGAGGAGCCCAGTGGGCACTGGTCCAGGCGAGGACCAGCACCAAGGACGCCTTGTGTGCCTCAGTGACCAGGGAAGTGAGAAGACCTCATATTTAAAAGCAAATGCCTCATAAAATTTCTTGGAGCAAAACACCTGCCAGGGGTTTCTTCCAGTGGAGAGACAAACACTGGCCCCAGGGTACTCCACGGGTGACTCCAGCCTCTAACTCTAGCAACTGTTTCAGCCATTGCCCTTTTCGGAGCAGAATTTACAGTTAAATAATAGTTACGTGCCCAAATGGCATCGATAATCAGCCCGGCTTTAGCATCCCTTCCCCTGTCTCGCAGCAGACAGCGCTGCTGCCTCTGTCTATCGACTGAGACGTTGTTAACTTCACGTTTTCTCTCAGTCAGGATGCACCCTATCTGATCTAGGATGATCCTAGATCAGATAGCAGATACCGGCTGAAAAATAGACTAATACAAACTAACAACAGAGCTGCTGGCTTTTTCCCAGGCTGGGGAGTACATCTCCATGCATGTGGATCCAGGTGCAGGGCAGCTGAATCCCAAAATAAACTGAGTGGGGAGAGGCAGATGGGAATTTACAGCTCTTTTACAAATAAACCCAGAATTCAAGCAGCGTAACCATCTCCAAACTCCAGCTGGTGCCGGTGGCCGCTGACAGGTACTCTCCTGGCCACCTTTCTGTTTCGCTTTAGAGCATCTTTCATTTTCACCTCTCTGAGCCCTGCGCTGGCAAGTCCAAGCAGACTCCGGGTGTTTATTGGCACCTGGGGTTTCTTTCCTCACTGCATTAGAAATAAAAATATTTTCGGTTAGTACAACAGTGACTAATTCTGTTTGTGCCCAGGCTTCAGCCCGGTGTAGGTCAGTGGAACTGATGAATCTGCCCATGGTTGGTGTTCCCAGTTAAACCTATACTAAGCGCTGCTGGAAGTTTCTCCCCAGGCAGGTCTGGTCTTCATGCTCCCCGACACCTCGACGTGTATTTTCATCCTTTTTCTGTAGCTTTTCTTCCCCAGGAAGGTAGGAAACAGCTCGAGGCAGGAGCCCAAGGACCTTCGTGAGTGAGACTGGTGCCTGGGCTCTGCCCTGCAGGGAGAAAAGGGCAGCGTCAGCTCAGCTGTGGTGAGTTTTTCAGTAAAGCTCAGTCACTCTGGTTTAATTAACCACAGGAAGGAAGCAGATGGGATGCCTCTTGCTGTACGGAGCACGAAGGTTTCCAGTTACCTGATGTGACAGGATTCACTTGATTCCCACGAAAATATGGGCAGAGCAAGTCAGCAATGGGGATGGGATGGCTGCTGGCTCATCAGTGCGGGAAAGGAGGTGGCACGATGGGGGAGAGGCAGCTCCACTCCTCTGAAACTGGGTTGGGAAACTGGAGGGACTGGGGAATGGGGCTGCAGGGCTCCAGCCAGGGGCACGGGTTTGCTGGAGGGAGAGAGAAACAAGAGCCAGGGGACATTTAGTGCTAGCTCACCATACAAGCTAAGTGCAAAGAAGTCTGTGCCATTTGTCACCAAAAACACGGCGATGTTTGCATCGTGACACAGACCTGGTGGGCAAAAGCACGCAAACATCTCTCTGACTAAACGTACTTATCATCTCCAAGAAGTTATAGGAAGGGAAATCCCAGCAGAAGCCATCTGGGCAACCAAAGGCAGCATCTACCATGGAGAAATGACATTTCCAGTGGAGGAGCAACCACCATGATTCATTTCGGGGCATATCCTCAAGCAGCCTTTTTCCCTGCCCATAACAGCCCCGTCCTGCCAGGACACACAGCTTAGGGAAAAAAAAAAAGTAAAGAAAAAGACAAAAAAGGGAAAAAACATCCCTCAAAGGGCAGCCTGCAGAGCAGAGAGACTGAAAGCACTAAGTCATCCATGTGACTCATGACACATGGACACATACCTCAAAGCCAAATCACAGCTTTGCTGGTGAGACGCTCATGGCATCTCACCAGGCTGTGCCATGACCTGACCCCCACTGCACGTGTCGGGTGTGGGGAGCAGCTCTGCAGACCCCCTTTGGGTCCCCCATGTCAACCAACACATGCCAAAAACATCCGCGTTTGGGGGGGAAAAAACCAACACCAAAACATCAGGACAACAACGAGGATACAGACCTGTTGGAGCGGGGCCAGAGGAGGCCACAGAGATGCTGGGAGGGCTGGAGAGCACAGCCTTCTGCTGGGAGGACAGGCTGAGAGAGTTGGGGGGGTTCAGCCTGGAGAAGAGAAGGCTCCGGGGAGACCTTAGAGCCCCTTCCAGTCCCTCAAGGGGCTCCAGGAGAGATGGGGAGGGACTCTGGATCAGGGAGGGGAGCCAAAGGAGGAGGGGGAAAGGTTTGGCACTGAAAGAGGGGAGATGGAGATGAGATTTGGGGAAGAACTTGTTTGGTGTGAGGGTGGTGAGAGCCTGGCCCAGGTTGCCCAGAGAAGCTGTGGCTGCCCCATCCCTGGAGGGGTTCAAGGCCAGGTTGGAGGGGGCTTGGAGCAACCTGGTCTGGTGGGAGGTGTCCCTGCCCAGGGCAGGGGGTGGCACTGGATGGTCCCTTCCAATCCAAGCCATTCCATGATTCTATGGTTCTACCTTTTACTCCAGCAGCCTGATTTCGTGGCAGTGTGAGCTCTGTGCACCCTGTCAAAGCCCGGCTGAAGCAGCAGTGGGTGAGATGAGATGAGCTGAGCTGAGGGCCAGAGCTCATCCCTTCCTCTGCTGTGCTGCATCCCACCAGGGCCAGGCCAGCAGGATGAGACCCCAGGGCCAGCATCCCCTCTGTAAAACAGGACAGTGCTCCCCTACACAGCTCTTCTGCGTGCAACCTTCTGCTTCTCCTGCAACCCCAAAAGCTGCTGCAACGGGAGGCTGCGTGCTCCGGCACGGTGCGTTATCCCCCATCACTTAGTGCTGATGAAGTTCCTGCCAATCTCAGTGTCAGTCTGGGTCTTACAGTAACAGCACACAACTGTCACATAGATCAGAGATGGTGGTTTTCTGTTTGGTTTGTTGTTTTTTTTTCATCCCACAGAAGCAAACGGTTTCCTTGCTGGGTATCTCTTTCCTGAGAGCTCAGCCCACTGCCTGATCAGCAGCCCCGGTACCGGGAGCTTGAGTCACTCACCCGTCCCCGGCCGCTCCTGCTGAACAAATAAGTTTAAGTATTAAACCCTAGAGGGAAAGAATTGGAGATTTGGTCTAAATACAGAGAAGGAGGAGGATTATCAGACTTCCAGTTCCCGAAGGGCGCTTGCTCTTGGAGAGCAGAGCATCACCACCAGGCCAGAAACAAACCCGCCAGGAATGGCATGGCCAATCCAGCCCATCATAACGCAGCCAACACTGCATAAAAATCCCACTTCTGCCTCCCAGCACGTCCCATCGGTCAGTGCCGCTGGTGGTGCTGCCTTCGGGCAGTAACGGCAAGAATTCAAACACCAGATTTTCATTTTCCCCATTTAGAGAGTCCACTCGGTGCTGACTCAAGCTCTATCTGCGGTTGAAGCCACACGCTTCTAATAGCCCACTGCAGGGCAGCGAGCCCCGAGTGGGCTCCGTGGCACAGGATGGGGACAACCGACTGCGGCCGGCGAAGTCCGGGCTTGCCTAACCACACCAGAGGGGTTTTCATGGCTGAGCCACAGCAGATGAATCACTGCCTGCGAGCGCCGGAGCAGGCGCGTTGGTGATCACATCCCCACTGCCAGCCATGTGGATTTTGCAAGGTGCTTCCACGTTTTTTCCCTCCCATCAGAGAGAATCCAGGCTCAGGGGAAAGATGCAAGACCCAGCCGGAGAAAAGGGAGCGCACCCAAGGGCTGGCACTGGGAAAGAGCTGGTGGTTTCACAAGTGCTTCAGTTTGGATGCAGCAACTTGTGCCCAAGCACACGCGCACGTGGACAATGTGCCTGAGGACTCCAGAAGAGCATCAGCTGCTCCCTGGTACATAAGCAAGTTTCACCTCAAATGAGGAACATGCCAAGAGTGTCTGCTGCCTGAAGGAGCAGTTTCTTCTGCTTTTCCCTTTCTCTCTTTAGAAACTTTCCTGAAAGCCATAGGCACCCTGGGGCTGGACAGTACGTACTTGCTGTCAAGAAAGCAATTAAACATCTTACTCGTCTCCTGTTGGCCCACAGGGACGGGGAGAGCAGAGGAGCTGGTGGAAGTGTCTCCAAACGCAGCAGAGCAGACACAGGCATCTCCTCTCGTGGGCTGGGTATGAGGAGCAAAACCCCACTGGCCTCTTTCCTGTAACAGGAAAAAAACTTCTCTCTTGCCACAAGGAAGACGAGCACCTTCTCTGAGACCCCTCAGCCTCCCAGGGTGCCATGAAGACCAGGAACCCAGCTTTTAGCAATACGAGAGACCTTAAGCACTAAATGGGCAAAATCAAAACAAGAAAACTCCGTTTTAACTATTATTAAGTGGCATCAGCTTTCAGAACTTTCCTGATTTCGGTTGTGGTTATAGTTAATGCTTGTTATTTAATTTTAACTTGCCGTACCACGCAGCCCCACGCAGCTCGTGCCTCTCTGTGCCCTAGATTTTTAGCAGCACGTGACTGAAACGGGAGCTTTTGTCATGAAAGAGGTCAGGTGGAGCAGCGAAAGCAGGGCAGCGTGCCGCGGCCGTACCCGAGGGGAGCAGGGGGAAGCAGGCACGGCCCCAGCTCCGCAGGCTGCCACCTTCTTATCTCATCCGTGCCAGGGTGGTGAGAGCCTGACTAATACCAGCTGCAGGAGGGCACGGGATTACTAAAGCCAGGAACGTGATGCTGCTCATCACAGACACGCTTTCGGTGCTCAGGGGCCCTGTTTTGGGAAGGGCTCAGCTCCATCTCCTGGGACCAGCATCCCGTGGACCCACTGGGGCAGAGCTGGAGGGCAGGACACCAGCCCCGAGCATCCCTTTGAGCCCGGGGA